ATTAAAATGGCCCATTGTTAAAGGGTATCAAGCATATTTTGTAATTATATAAATTAGCTGACAGAATAGGTTCTTGTCAGACAATATATTTTGCCAACAAACTTGACAATATACTAGTGTTATAAGCCTACCATTAGTGTTAAGAGGATGTAAATGAGTATCTTAAAACCTGATAGTACCAGAGCCACTAGGGGTGACCTTGAGTCAAAATTAAGGTACCTAAAAAAACTGTATCAGAGGTTATAAAACTTTTAAAACATTAGAAAATGGGTATAATGAAAATTGTAAAAAATGGTGTAAAGTGGAGATTTAAAAAGATACATAAAAAAAAAAAATACAGTAAAGAAATGGGTTGATTTTGTTGGAAGCTGGCATGGTCTAGCAGCCTGGAAGTATTGTTGGGGGAGTTTAAAATAATTGTACCTCTACTCACTACACTCCTGGTAGAAATATGTGTTTGCCACAAGAAGAAACGGGACAGCAGCTACATGTGGCCTTACTCTATATTACTGTACATTATACATCATCTCCTTCTTCATACTACATGACTTCTCACATAATTATTCATTTCATACATACATATGTAAATTGTGTATTTTCCCGAATTGTATTTCCCTTAATTTGTTTTCACATTTTATTTGCTACTTAAAAGATGGAACTAGCTATAAGATTACGTTGTTTGACAATGCATGTGAAAATTGCACGAAATCCCCCCTAACTACGGTAATTTCATTTAGGTTAACTGTTAGATTTTTTTGGCAGTTTTGTAGGTCAGATCACAAAACTTAAATCAATCTAGTTATCAGTTCCTAATATATCCATCTTGTATTATATTAGGGCACTAACAGTAAAGGGAAGACTATACTAGCTTGAAGTACGCTTTTTGTTTAACAGTTACGTCAGTGATAGTAAATCTAATGTTTGTCGTTCTCCACTCATTATTTTATTTTATTTTTATGCCCCCATTTCGAAGAAAAGGGGGTATATTGCTTTGCACTTGTCGGTCCGTCGGTCCGTCGGTCCGTAGACCAAATGGTTTCCGAGTGATAACTAAAGAACCCTTAGGCCTAGGAACTTCAAACTTGGTATGGTGATTGGTCATGACAAGTAGATGACCCCTATTGATTTTGGGGTCAATGGGTCAAAGGTCAAGGTCACATTGACCTTGTAAGCAAAAAAGGTTTCCGATCAATAACTAAAGAACCTTAAGGCCTAGGAACTTCAAACTTGGTATGGTGATTGGTCGTGATCAGTAGATGACCCCTATTGATTTTGGGGTCAAGGGGTCAAAGGTCAAGGTCACATTGACCTCTTGGGTAAAAACGGTTTCCGATCAATAACGAAAGAACCCTTAGGCCTAGGAACTTCAAACTTGGTGTGGTGATTGGTTATGACCAGCAGATGACCCCTATTGATTTTGGGTTAAGGGGTCAAAAGGTCAAGGTCACATTGACCTTGTAGGTAAAAAACGGTTTCCGATCAATAACGAATGAACCCTTAGGCCTAGGGATTTCAAACTTGATATGGTGATTGGTCATGATCAGTAGATGACCCCTATTGATTTTGGGGTCAAGGGGTCAAAGGTCAAGGTCACATTGACCTCTTAGGTAAAAACAGTTTCCGATCAATAACTATAGAACCCCTTAGGCCTAGGAACTTCAAACTTGGTATGGTGATTGGTCATGACCAGCAGATGACCCCTATTGATTTTGGGGTTAAGGGGTCAAAGGGCAAGGTCACATTGACCTTGTAGGTAAAATGCTTTCCGATCAATAACTTAAGAACCCTTAGGCTTAGGAACTTCAAAACTTGGTATGGTGATTGGTCATGACCAGCAGATGACCTATTGTTTTTGGGTCAAGGGTCAAAGGTCAAGGTAACATTGACCTTGTAGGTAAAACGGTTTCCGATCAATTAACTAAAAACGCTTAGGCCTAGGAACTTCAAACTTTGTATGATGATTGGTGGTGACCAGCAGATTATCCCTATTGAGTTTTGGGTCAAGGGGTCAAAGGTCAAAGTCACATTGACCTTGTAAGTAAAAACGGTTTCTGGTCGAGTGGTTAGAGTCGATGACTTCTAATCCAGTTACCTCTCTGGCGTGGGTTCGATCCCCGGGAGATGCTTTGGTAGTTTAGCGCGGAGGAAGGTAGTCAAGTACTGGTGTAACTCTCCAGGAACGATGGTTAGGAAACTACCCGCCTATATGACTGAAATACTGTTGGAAAAAGGCGTAAAATGACAGAAACAAACAAACAAACAAACAATGATCAATAACTTAAGAACGCTTAGGCTTGGGAACTTCAAACTTGGTATGGTGATTTTTCATGACCAGCAGATTACCCCTATTGATTTTGGGATCAAGGGGTCAAAGGTCAAGGTCACATTGACCTTGTAAGTAAAAACGGTTTCTGATCAATAACTACAGAACGCTTCGGCCTAGGAACTTCAAACTTGGCATAGTGATTGGTCATGACCAGCAGATGACCCCTATTGATTTTGGGGTCAAAGGTCAAGGTCACATTGACCTTGTATGTTAAAACGGTTTCGGATCAATAATAAAAGAACCCTTAGGCCTAGGAACTTCAAACTTGGCATGGTGATTAGTCATGACCAGCAAATGACCCCTATTGATTTTGGGGTCAAAGGTCAAGGTCACATTGACCTTGTAGGTAAAAACGGTTTCTGATTAATTAACTAAAAACGCTTAGGCCTAGGAACTTCAAACTTTGTATGATGATTGGTCTTGACCAGCAGATGACCCCTATTGAGTTTTGGGTCAAGGGGTCAAAGGTCAAGGTCATGACCAGTAGATACTTGATAACCCTTATTAATTGTTTGATCACTGGGTCAGAAGTCATGCATAATTACCTTATCACATGAATAATTGGCTGCTGATGGGGGCATACATGTTTTACAAACATATCTTGTTTACAAAAATTTAGTCGTAACTTCTTCAAAAGTTTTGAAGTTACTTTGGTTTTTACAAAAAGTTAGAAGTAACTTCTTCAAAAGTTTTGAAGTTATTTTAGAAAAACAAGTGGTTATTTGCTATGTGCAGCATATGCTAAACTTAAGTAAGCAAAGCACAGCATGTTGTCTCCAATCATACCGGTGTCTGTTTGAAGTACAGCATAGGAAAAAAAAATGTGATGAGTATTTCATTTTGTAAGGGACGCATTTTTGTAACATGAAGTTAGTGAGAAGTGATCATGTGCTATGATGTATGGAGATATGTAATGTCAGTAATTCTCATGTTTACCAATGTATTACAGTGGTGGTAGAGGAGGTTTCACCAAATTTGGGGGTGGTAAGTGAATGTCATGTACCCAATGTGGGCTTGACTTTGTTAATAACAAATCTTTTCCTGTTCTTTTTATGTAGTAAAATGGTCAAATTTGTTGTCTTAATTGGTAGTGGTTTTGATTGGTGTTTTAAAGAAGAAAGTAGAAAAAGAAGTTATTAAAATTTTATCTTGTATAATAATGGGAGAAGTAAAGAAATGGTCCTGAAAAATGAATGGTGTTACCTGGGATATGTAAATCAAAAGTTGATATTTAAGAATTCAGTATAAAAATGCTTGGGTTAATTGAAGAGATAGAAATATCTGAGCATTACCTTGGGAATCTCGAGGTATAATATGAAACTATCACACAACATGGTTAATATAGATCAGTATAATAAAAAAATATTAAGTGGAATATGGTTAAGGAAAAACTAGAGAAGATGGTTGCAGATATAAGTGGAAATGAGGAACAGCTTTGTAATCTACATGTCAAGGCATGGTGGATGTATGTCAGCGTGACTCAAAACCACAATTGATCAATGAAACTTACCTAAAGAGCTGCATCAGATTGTGATGATATGATGACCAGGTAGTCAGTCGTCCTAGATATGAATGAGGTCAAGAAACAAGCTAGTTATCAATGGAAGATGAAAGTGTAACATTATTACCGTTGAGTGTGTCTCCAACCAATCATGAACCTGACAAAGCTGCTCTGTTCACATTAATGAATGAAGACAGAATGATGCACTTACAGGGACAAAGCAACCGAGGATATGCTTCAGTCAGAAATAAAATGGTCATATTTTTATAAAAATAAAAAAAATGAAGAATATTACTAAATGTTGAAATTGTTCAGTTTGAACAGGGTAATGCATCTAGATATTAACTGAAAGATTGTCAATGTAATGGAGTAATTTTGAAAGTGTGAAATTGAGGATGAAAAGTATGATATATAAGATGTAAAAATATAAGTTATTATAAAGGCAACTAAAGATTAATGGAAGTGATACAGTAAATCTTATGATATGTCAGTAAATAAATGTTGAAGTGTTGGTAAACAACATGTATGTAGCTATTGTATAAGGATGGTGTATACTTGTGTGTAGAGATAATCATTTTAATGAGTTGAAAATGATTGAAAATTGATACAAGAAGATAGTCAACATACATTGATACAGAAGTACTTATTAGAAATATAGGTGTAATTGCAAAAAAAATGTATTGTGAAGAGGTTAGAAAATAATCAGGTGGATATAATAGTACATGTGTATTACAAGGTGTAAAATTGTCAGTATGAGAATATTTGCTGGAATAATAGAACAGAAATACATGGTAAAAATAATGCTGGTTTGTTTGACTAGAAATGAAGATACTGATAATAATCTGAAAACATATTGTAGATATATAATATCAACAAGTATGAAATTAAACATATAGAAGACAGCAATGAAAAAAGTAAGCTGTACCCTGGACATTGAGAGTGAATGTTTCACAGCCTAGTTAAAAGAACTGGCATGTGGGTTAAAGGGTATATGGGTGTATTTAAGGTTGGTCCTATTTAAAAGAGAGTAAGCTAAGATGTGCAAACACTGAAAATGTTCATAAAAAAAGTTCTTATTTTAATATTTGACTATATTAGGGAAAAGCATGCATTGGTTGGGAGGTTATATATTTCTTACAAGTAATAAGTAAATGGTTGAATTTTATAAACTTGTCAGACTTCAAGTTGTCAGTATTTTGCAAATGCAAATCATTTGAAAGACCATCCCTAAAGATACTAAACAAAAAGTTAAAATATATTTAAATTTATCTAAAAGAATTTGTTCTGACTTGAAATCTGACAAGTGATGTTTTATAAATATAATCTGGAAATCCTCGTTAACTTTAGTATATGGAGGAGGAGGTGGCTGGGGTGGTGATCGCGAGCTACAGGAAACCCCAGACACAGTTTTCATCACAGGTCTTAGTGAAAGCATTGTTGAAGAGGATCTGCTTGCACATTTTGGCAGTATAGGAGTAATCAAGGTAATTCATAAATAACATTCATTGGAAGCTGTTATCACTGTCAAATTTCTATTGTTATTTGTTTAACTGTCTAATTTCAACATGTTTTTTGGTCATCTTAACAATAAGACAAGTAACTGGTTTTCCTTGAAAAAAGCAGTAATAACCAGTTTATCAGCAGGCTATGGAGTTTTTCTTTTCTTACCTACATAAATGTTAAATTGTGGATGGGAGGCAAATAAAAACTAAAAGAAATCTCCATATGAAAATCCAAAAGAGCTAGAGCTTAAAAATTTGGCATGAAACATCTTCTAGTGGATGTCTACCAAGTTTGTTCAAATTAAAGCTGTTGGGTCAAAATTGGCCCCGCCCCAGGGGATCATTGATTTTCCTTCTATATACAATTATATAGTAAAGTCTTAAAAAATCTTCTCATGAAAATCCAAAAGAGCTAGAGCTTAGATATTTGGCATGAAACATCTTCTTGTGAATGTCTTCCAAGTTTCTTCAGATAAATGCCCTAGGTTCAAAATTGGCCCCTCCCCAGGGGTCAAGGATTTTCCTTATATGTATATGGTAAAAACTTTAAAAAGTATTTTTGTGAAAATCCAAGAGGTAGAGTTTAGCTATTTGGCATGAAACATGTTCTAGTGTATGTCTACCACGTTTGTTGAAATAAAACCCTTAGGGTGAAAATTGCCTCTTCTTCCCAAGGGGATCGAGGTCGACATTTCAATCCCCAGCCATGTCAAATGTTTTGTTTGTCTTCTCTTTTCCCTACATCGTTTTATTAGCTCACCTCTAACTTAGTGACAGGGTGAACTGTTCAATAGAATGCAGGGCTGAAGCAGCCCTGCTCTTAATTTTGGGGAAAAATTGTGCGGTATATTTGCAAAAGGGGAAGAAAAAACTTGATGTAAATTCAATTTTTTGGGAAAACTGCATGATTTTAAAGAATTTTTCTTTGGGGAAGCAGCCCTATTTTTCTTTGGGGAAGCAGCCCTATACCGGCCCCTGCTTTAGAAGGGAAAAAGACCCTGGAATGGTTACCAGAGCTAAAATTAGAAAATAACAACATCTAAACCACTGGTTCAATTTCGAATTAATTTTACACAAAAATTTGCTGGGTGACGGTGTACAAAAATTGTTTAGATTAAGCTGTCCCATGTTTTCAAATTGTGCTTCTGGGGTGAAAAGGGGTTCCACTGACCTTTTGACCTATTTCTCAGGTGAGCGATCCAGGGCCCTCTGGTTTATGCTGTACTATGCAGTTGGTTTTCTTCTTGGAGAAGAAATAGGAATAAATTTTATTGAAAAATTGATTATTGAAACATAAATTTCAGTATAATAGGGGTCTGTGTTGTATTAAAACACTGTCAGTGATAATCTGTCAGCTTGAATGACAACAATACTTACCTCATGTTGATTTATGTTGCAGATGGACAAAAGAACTGGTAAACCCAAAGTATGGATCTATAAAGATAAGATGTCTGGTCGACCAAAAGGGGAAGCCACTGTCACTTACGATGACCCAGAAACTGCTAAAGCTGCTATCAACTGGTTCAGTGGTATGTATTTTATTTAGCTTTCAAGGAACCATAGTCTTATAATATGATTTTTATAAATTTTTGACATAACGTTTCTGCATAGCTACAATTAATGTATTTTCAAAAAAAAATTTTCTTTTCCTTCACTTAAATTATTTATACTAAACAACAAAGTCTTGTCTAGGAGTGGTCAGTACATACAATTATTTATTGTTAAGTCATGGTAAAGTCAACATTTTTAACAGAATTGTTTCCTTGCTGATTTTATGTGGAAAGATATTTCTTTAATGTAATGATGAACAATTTTTCAGAGAAAGATTTTCAAGGAAATGTAATTAAGGTTCAGATTGCTCAAAGGAAAGTGAGTCAGTTTGGTGGTGGTGGACGTGGAGGAGGAGGTGGCGGTGGAAGAGGAGGAGGTGGCGGCGGTGGATTTGGTGGTGGTCGTGGCGGAGATAGAGGAGGACGTGGTGGTGGAGGTGGCAGAGGTAACATTATTTTATAAATACTGTTGCAGAAAATAACTGTATACATCAATGCATGTATCTTGAAATAATGATGCATTTGATTTATTCTAAAATTTTAAGTTTCATGGTATAAGCATGCTGTCATCCTGGTTGAAATGTTATGAACTTCATGAACTGGTATAAGGAAGAATGTTTATCGGGAATAGACAGATTTCTGACTTGTTAGTTGAACATAGAAAAATTGAATTACACCAATGTATATTTTTATTGTCCCCCGCCTTTTCAAAGAAAAAAGGGGGATATAGAAATAGGCTCTGTCTGTCCGTCTGTCCGTCCGTGCGTCATACTTTCGTGTCCGGTCCATAACTTTGTCATTTATGAAAGGAATTTGAAATAACTTGGCACAAATGTTTATTATAATAAGACTATGTGTCATGCGCAACAACCAGACCCCTACCTCCAGGGTCAAGGTCACACTTGCTCATTCAAGGTCAACATTGCCTATGTGAGGGTATATGTCGTGTCCGGTCCATAACTTTCTTATTTATGAAGGGATTTTGTAAATACTTGCCATAATTGTTCACAATAATCAGACGATTTGTCATGCGCAAAAACCAGTCACCTACATTCAAGGTCAAGGTCACACTTGGAGGTCAAATATTAACATAGTCTGTTACAGGGTATATTTGGTGTCTGGTCCATAACTTTGTCATTTATCAAAGGAAGTTGAGATAACTTGGCACAAATGTTTGTTATAATAAGACGATGTGTCATGCGCAACAACCAGACCCGTACCTTCAGGGTCAAGGTCGTACTTGCTCATTCAAGGTCAACATTGTCTATTTGAGGGTATATGTCGTGTCCGGTCCATAACTTTCTTATCTATGAAGGACTTTTGTAAATACTTGCTATAATTGTTCACAATAATCAGATGATGTGTCATGCGCAAAAACCGGTCACCTACCTCCAAGGTCAAGGTCACACTTGGAGGTCAAATACTTAAATAGTCTGTTACAGGGTATATTTTGTGTCTGGTCTATATCTTTTTTATAGATCAAAGGATTTTGAAAATACTTCGCACAAATAGTCACTATAATAAGAGGATGTGTCATGCGCAACACCTGCATCCCTACCTCGAAGGTCAAGGTCACACTTAGAGGTCAAAAATTAACATAGTCTGTTATAGGATATATTTTGTGTCGAATCTAGAACTTCTTCATAGTTCAAGAGATTTTGAAATAACTTGGCACAAATAGTCACAATATTAAGCCGATATGTCAGGTACAACACCTGCACCCCTACCTCTTAAGGTCAAGGTCACACTTAGAGGTCAAAGGTTAACAGAGTCTGTTATTTGGTATATTTTTGGTCCTGTTTATTACTTCTTCATAGATTAAGGGATTTTGAAAATACTTGGCACAAATAGTCACAATGATTAGATGATATGTCATGCGTAACATCTGTGTCCCTACCTCCAAGGTCAAGGTTACACTTAGAGGTCAAAGATTTACATAGTCTGTTATAGGGTATATTTTGTGTCCAATCTATAACTTCTTCATAGTTCAAGGGATTTTGAAAATACTTGGCACAAATAGTCTCAATAATAAGACGTTATGTCATGCACAAAACCTGCTCCCCTACCTCCAAGGTCAAGATCACACTTAGAGGTCAAAGCTTAACATGATAGATTTTTAAAAGTGTTTCATTTTATTTTTTTAACAAATTTATTGTTACATTTGCAGATCTAGCATTGATCATAATTTTGGACTGAATGTCCTGAGATCCATACCTCAATCTTTTGAAATAGCACAATTTTATGCTTCATATAAAACTCCCGGGGCGGGGGACGTTGGTAACTCTGTTACAAATTCTTGTTGTATTTGACTTTATACACAACACCTGAATGTGAGTAAACATAATCATTCCATTTCTCAATTGAATAATCAGCATTTTTCAAACAAGTGTGAGAAACATTTGCATGAGGTATTGATATTTGACCAGATTGGTTTTATATAATACATACAATATAAAAGAAATGTATTTGTAAATTAAATGTTATAGGAGGTGGACGTGATGGTGGTGGAAGTCGTCAAGGAGATTGGAACTGCCCTAATGAAGATTGTGGTAACAACAACTTTGGTTGGAGGAATGCCTGTAATCTCTGTAACACACCTAGACCAGATGGTGCTGGTGGTGATGGTGGTGACTTTGGTAAGTGCTTTATTGTTTTGATGTGCTTGTAACAGACTTGTTTGTAAATATTCTAGAGAATTTGTAGCCTTTCATTATTCTGTATTTGAGTATTTCCCCTAAGGGAAGCATTTATTTGTCATTAAGCGCTGCTCCCAGTAGAATTTTAGTTAAAGTTGCTCACTTAAATTACTTTCACCTCACTGCTCTGTTTGAATCCTCTCCTGTAAGGGTTTTTATATTCTTTCATGCGAGGTTGTTATCTATCTAGGTTAAGGAAGGTCAGTGGTTCTACACAGGTGCTTCTCCACCAGTAAAGCTGGAAAGTTACCATTATGATCTTTAAAATGTCCTCATTACCCAAAATGCAACAAAACGTGCTCCAGATAATAAAAGTTATTAACGCGACATGCTGAATTTTTATTGTCAACTTGAGCTGAATTGACTATATACTTGTAATGGTGATAGACCAACAGTTGATATTGGAAAATGTTTAGCATAAAATATAAATTTGCTTAAAATATAAAAAGACGGCCAACAAAACAAAACAAATTTCCTTATGCCACACATGATATTTATGGCTCATGCTAAGTTAATTATACATAAAGGAATTATGGCAAAATGTAAACATCTATTGACTTCCACCTGTTCATTATGTATATATCCTTGGATGAAATTATGTATACAAGATTTAATTACGCGTTGTAGAAATTTATGAAAACGCCAAAGAAATCCTTAGTACCACCAATTTTGTATATGGACATTGGGAGATATTTTAGGAAGTTGCTTCATGTTTCTTTTATATGAGAGAAAACTATGGGCATTGATGATTGTGCTATATTTCAGGTCGTGGTGGTGGTGGTAGAGGTCGCGGAGGTGGTGGTGGATTTGGTGGCGGCCGAGGAGGCGGCGGTGGTCGTGGTGGATTTGATAGAGATAGAGGTGTGTTTCAATTTAATTATCATTTGATACTCGTTGAATGGTATCTGCAATATAAAAATTATCCTACTGGCCAGCCCAACCTGCATATCCATGTAGTCTGTCAAGACTCTCCCAGGGATCAAGAAATATATTCAGAGCCACTTATTGTGCTGGACAAGTGTGTAAAATCTTTACATTAAAATTGTAAGAGAAGATTTTTGACTTAAAAGTTAAATACAACATAAAACGTACATATTACAAAGAAAAACCAGAATTTTGAAAAACTATGTTAAGTCAGTTAAAATACAAATGTGAAACAAAAAGTATTTTATAAAAATAACAAAGCCTAAACTATGTTAGTGATAAATTACCTGTTTCATGATTGACTTGTTATTTCCAGGAGGTCGTGGTGGATTTGGTGGTGGTCGTGGCGGTGATAGAGGAGGACGTGGTGGAGATAGAGGGGGACGTGGCGGTGGTGGTGGTTACGGTGGTGGACGGTAAGTTGACCTGATACAGAGCAATTATCTAGCTACGTTATAATTGATATGATCTATTCAGGTTTTCCCTTGAGCCTTAAGATTAATTATGCTGAGTGGAACACTGTAATTATTCCACAAGTAAAGCTAGAATTTTGCCTTAACTTTAGTTGTAGCTAAATCCTCAAAAAATTTAAGCCCAGTTACAAAACAGTAGTTGATTGCTTATGAGTTGATGTTACTTTTTTTTTCAGTCATTTATATGTCACATCAACTGCATTCTTTTAAAAATGAAATTTCTGAAATAATTCTCTGTCCAATTTAATTTTTTGTTCATTTTGGTTTTGTTTGGTCTTGATAATGAATGCAGATAAAGTTAATAGTGAAGGTATTTTATGAAATGTTTCTATATTTTACAGTGGTGGCGGTGGTGGAGGAAGAGATGACAGGCGGTCCAGACCATACTAAATCATCATTTCTATCATCATTCATACATTACTGTTTGAACAACATCACATAAACAGTTGTTTCATCATTTTTCATTGATCATATCTCATCATGATTTAACATCATTGTTTAGTCATGGAATGCTACACCCGTATGTTTTATACAAGATTTTAAAGGACTTACTGTAACATACATTCAATGTGTGGATTGTGGTTTTACAACAGGCACCTTCAAGGCAGCTTATAACTAGATTGTTGTCCCACATGGATGAACATGAATAGATTGTGTAGCATGTTGGGGAGAAATTTATTTGGTAACATACTTAAGAAATAGTTTTTGTTAGGGGGAAAAATCAGTGTTTGTTGTAAATAAGATGTTGTCCTCTTGTTTGATTACTGTGCAGAGTGGAATAGTTTTAAGTCTTAATGGAACATTTTAAACAAATAAATTAACGAAATTTGCTAAACATACATGTCATCATCATTTGATATTATTTCTTTGCTTGATTTACAACATTTTATCATGTTAGACTTAAAAATTGGAATTCCTTGTATTAAAAGGTACTTTTTTAATTTTAGATCTCATTTCTAGAGATTTGTAATTATGTGACATTGTGTAATAAAAGTGAAAAACTAGAATTTGTTTGTTGTTGTCCATAGCTGTACAATGCTTATTGTGAAGAATTTGATAATAATACATGTAGTTGTGAATATATATGTTGATGCTAAAAAATGTAAGGCTTGCACATTTTCAGACATTTCTATCACTAAGATCAAGAATAAAGATTATGTATAAAGCCCTATTACGACTCTATTCCAACGTACCTTTTGTTGTACCTTTTGTTTAACGAATAATGATTGTAAATATCCTATTAGACATTTGCGACAAAATATCGGGTAAGATTACCGAGGAACAGTTACGCTAATATTGAGGGGTCATCTCAACACATATTATGTACACTTTAGAATAAGACCAGGATATTTTATTGTGTTTCTTTTTTTTACATCGTAATTTTCATTTTTAGTAACTACAAGACGATCTAATGCAAGTTTCTCTAAGTAAATTCGGAACTTTTTTTTATAAGCTCAGCCAATTGGTCGTTTGCGTTGACGGTCGTTTTGGTCTAGTGCGCTGAAGTGCATTTGATGATGCCAAAGCGTTTAACAGATTTAGCACGATCATCTTGACGTCTTGATTACGGCCTCGGTTGCGCTGTTCACTTGGGTCTGGACCGGGTTGAAGTTGTCTCGGGATTGGCGGGAGCGAAGCTGCTGGTCAGCTGTCCGTGTTGGTCTCCATTTTTACATCAGTTAAGATCTATCAGAGCTTGACTTAACAATGACTGCTGCATGTGAGCCGCTTTAGCTTGCACTTGATTTAGATGTCCGTCCTTCGATAGAACTGCACCCTGTATTTTTTTTTTTTTTTTGTTGTTGTTGTTCTTTTATCACTATAACCTTCATTCAAAACGCTGTAGCGGCCTAAATGTGTCAAGTGTCGAGTGGCAGTCATAAACAAAAAATGCCCCGTACTTCACTTCTAGTCCTTCGGGATAATTGAGTCCAGCATTTTTAAGTTGTACCGCTTAAGCCGATGCTAGGGGCGTGAGGGATAGGATGTTGCACTTTTATTTCCCTCATGTACAGAATTAATCAAACCGAGTCTGCAATTTTTTCGTGATTTTTTGCTGTGCTTCCGCAGATATTTCAACACTTTTTAGAGATCATATTTGGCTATTGCTTGCTTTTGATATATTAAACTTTTTCACTACTGTTTTAAATGCTGAGCCCCAAGCCAAAGCTGTTGGTACCATTTTTCATGTATTTGGCATCACGTGGCTTGAACTAATAACCTTCTGTAGTCGAGGCACACTCTACTTAAAAGTGTTATGGAGGATTTAAATTGTATATGGAATATTATAAATACATCGCATAATGCTACAGCATAATGATAAAATACGTCATTTAGATAACCGACTGATAAATTTATTTGCATTTAATTCAGGGTTTAAACCTATTGTTTACACGATGCCAAATATGTAAGAAATTAGGTGCAGATTAAGGGTTACTGATTTACGATGTAAATACTTATTACTTATGTAGTTTATCGTTTTTTCTTAATCATGCTTATTTAATATCTTGATCATTTTTTCGGTATAAACTTTTGCTTATAATCCCACCACGATTCTAAATGAAATAGCAGAAAGTGTATTTCAAATGCACACTAGATACAAATTCTCCGAGTTGAGTGTGAGACACCCGAGACACTTTACATAATTCTTTAAATAAAAAGATAAATAAAATGGTTTACTGAAGCTATGTACTTATGGAACAAATGCGAGTACATATAGCGGTCACGGCTATTGATGGCACATCTCGTAGAATATACCGATCTATAGCAGAGCCACAGGAATTATATTATTCAGGACAAAGATAATACTAGTATCACGTTATACAATCAAAAATTATTTCGTGGACAATGCCCATGTTATCCGTTACTTAAAAATTGCGTTTATTATATTGTTCGATAATTTTGAGAATATCCCTTTATATAACTTGTCCTCGATCCTCAATCCCCGTTCCTCATTATAAGCCGCAAATGTCTATTAAGCAGTAGCACACACTAAATCTAACAAGAGAACGTTTAATTAAATTTTCCGCGTAAACACGAACACAGTACAGTAATATATTTCATCAGTTAAAGCTTACACCATGTAACAGTTATTAGCTCGACTTTTTAGCCGAAGGCTCAGGGTGAGCTATTGGTATCAAAGGGGGATGCTCGGTCGTCATGCGTCAACAATCGTCTTCTCCTCTGAAACTACTGGGCAGATTTACTTCAAATTTTGTCTGTAGCATCCTTGTGACAGTCACACTTGAATTTGCTCATGTCATTCCAATTGGCCCCTTTTAGGGGTCAGCAGAGCTAAAAATAGAAAAACCTTTAAACATCTTCTACAGAACTAATTGATGGATGATCACCAAACTTTGTCTGTAGCATTCTTGGGTAGTGTTTAATCAAGTTTGCTCATATGAATTTGATTGGCCCCTTTTAGGGGCCGCTAAAGCTAAAAATAGAAAAACCTTAAAACATCTATTTCTACAGAACTAATTGATGGATAATCACCAAACTTTGTCTGTAGCATTCTTAGGTAGTCTTTTATCAAGTTTGCTAATATTATTTTGATTGGCCCCTTTTAGGGGTCTCTAGGGCTAAAAATAGAAAAACCTTTAAACATCTCCTACAGAACTAATTGATGGATGATCACCAAACTTTGTCTGTAGCATTTTTGGGTAGTCTTTTATCAAGTTTGCTAATATTATTTTGATTGGCCCCTTTTAGGGGCCGCAAAAGCTAAAAATAGAAATACCTTTAAATGTCTATTTCTACAGAACTAATTGATGGATGATCACCAAATTTTGTCGACAGCATTCTCGGTAGTGTTTTTTATCAAGTTTGCTCATATTATTTGATTGGCCCCTTTTTAGGGGCCTTTAAAGCTAAAAAATAGAAAATAAAGTTAAATGTCTATTTGTTTGGTTTGTTTGTTTTGTTTTGGGTTTTTACGTCACATCGACACAGTATAGGTCATATCGCGACGCTCCAGCTTTATGGTGGAGGAAGACCTCGAGGTGCCCTTCCGTGCATTTTTCAGGCACGAACGGCACCTGATAGAACCACCGACGTTCCGTAAGCTAGCTGGATAGCTTCCTCACATGAAAAAATCCAAAGTCCCTGTTTTGGGATTCGAACCCACAGCGGTGAGGGCAATTTGGTTTTTGAAGTCAAACGACCTTAACCACTCGCACGGACGCCCTGTCTATTTGTAGGGAACTAATTGATGATGATCACCAAACTTTGTAGCATTTTTTGGGTAGTCTTTTATCAAGTTTGCTAATATTATTTGATTGGCCCCTTTTAGGGGGCCGCAAAAGCTAAAATGAAATACCTTTAAATGTCTATTTTTCTACAGAACTAATTGATGGATGGTCTTAAAAACTTTTTTTGTAGCATTCTTGGGTAATCTTTTATCAAGTTTGCTCACATTAATTTGATTGGCCCTTTAAGGGGGCCTTTAGGGGCTAAAAATAGAAAAACCTTTAAAAAACATATCCCTACTTTCGAGAATAAATTGATGGATGATCAACAAACTTTGTCTGTAGCATTCTTGGGTACTCTTTGATCAAGTTTGCTTATATTAATTTGATTAGCCCCTTTTAGGGACCACTAAAGCTAAAAATAGAAAACACCTTCGAACATCATTTCCTACTGAAATAATTGATAGATGATCAACAATCTTTGTAGCATTCTTAGGTAGTCTTTTATCAAGTTTGCTAATATTAATTTGATTAGCCCTGTTTAAGCTTAAGCTTCAAATTATTGTTTAAACATATTCTCAAGTTTAATATGAGAATATATTGACATTCCATCACTGAAAAGCAATTGTTTCTGGTGAGCGACTCGGGGGCCATCATGGCCCTCTTGTTTTTTTGGTTTTTGTTATAGTCGCGGTTGGGTCTTTCTCCACCAATAAAGCTGGAAAAAAATCGACGAAAAATCTCGGCGGGACGCTCTAGGATGACCCGACTTGAGTGTACGGTCGCCCACACGGCGACCTTAAATAAACGCATTAAAAAAAAAGTCGCGGCGGAGTTGCCGTTGCCGTCCGCAAACTTGTACCTGGATCATAACTTTTTTATTTCTTGGTGTATTGTCTTCATACTTGGCCACAACAACCATTGGGACAAGACCTTTCAGTAGACCACACTAACATTGACCTTCATCCATAAATGACCTTGACCTTCAAGGTTAAAAGTCCAAATTTTGCTTGTTCATGCTGTTTTTGGCTGTAAATTTGTTAGTTTTGAATGGATTGTCTTCAAACTTGAACATAATAATCTTGAAGGATATCCCTTAAAAATAACCAGACAGACCTTGACCTTCACTCATAAATGACCTTGACTTTGAAGGTCAAATTATTGAAATTTTCATTTTTTTGGCTATTATTGGCTGTAACTTTATTTTTGAATGGTGGATTGTCTTCAAACTTGGAACATAATAATCTTCAAGGGTAACCCTTAAAAATAACCAGACAGACCTTGACCTTCACTCATTAATGACCTTGACTTTGAAGTTCAAATTATTGAAATTTTCATTGTTTTGGCTGTAACTGTGCTATTATTGAAGGGATCAACTTAATATTATAACAAAACATACTTAAGACTCCCAACACGTGACACCACCACTTGACTCTACCACGTGACTTCACCACGTGACCCCGCCACGTGACTCCACCACGTGACTATAACCACGTGACTCCATCACGTGTCACCAAGTGACTCCACCACATGTATCTATTTATAGAATTTTCTATTTATATAATTGCATGTTTCTTTTTATAGAATTGCGTGTTTCTATTTATAGTATTGCGTGTTTCTATTTAAAATACAAGACAAAACTAATGTGACAAGACAGACTGATTAATTTTATAAAAAGGAAACATTAAGATTTTGTTCAAACATTTCTTTGTTTGCTTGTAGAGAAAGTAAAAAGTCGAGCGTTGCCCCCGCCCGGCGGTGGCTCTTTTTATATATACGCCACAAGTGATGCATTTGTTTGGGAAGGTTAAAAAAAGTTGGCAGTGCTTCACGGTTCCTGAAATGACTATCAGTGTTAACTAGTCTGGTATTCTTATCTATGTTACCAGGAGTCCTTCAAGTTGCGACTTTGATTTGATATGTTGAAGCGTCCATCCCAAATAGAAATCTTCAAATATTTCTAGCTATCTTCGAAAGCGTCTGTGCAGCATGTAAAAATCTTAATTAGACGGCCATGCTTTGGGAGGCAATATCCTCCATATTGTCATTATTTAAACACCACAGCAATTCAATGTTCGTTTTAGTTTTATGTACAAAATAACTTTTTATTTAAAGTGCAGTTCAGGGGATATTCACATTCAAAATTGGAGTACTTGATAAAATTTACCTTCGCCATTCTACCAGATTAAGGAATTTCCCCCCTCCCCCTCCCGCAAAATAACAATAAACATAAAAATATCTGTATTGAATTAACCGTTATTACTTATCAAAATAATTTTTATCTTTGATTTAATCTGATAGCGAAACAAGAACCATACTGTAAACAAACATTGACTATTTATTATGATATATATATATATAATATATATATATATATATAATATTATATTATATATATATATATATATATATATATAAATATATATATATATATATATTATATATATATATGATATAGTATATATATAAGGGGTCTGGCATCGTTGTTATGGATACAGAGGACCCCAGAAGTAAACTTCAGGCCGAGATGTCTGACAATGCTACTTATAAGGAGGTGAACGAAGAATAGAACAAAAACTATTGAAAACAAAGTGAAAAAAGATGGCAGATGATATGTGCAAAAAGGGTCAATTTCAAAAGATTTGAAAGGATATTTGACGTCTTCTGGTGGTACATCGGGTAAACTACAAGGTAATCCGAAACTGCCATAAAACATTGAGAAATAATAAGTAAATGGGAGAAATCAACCTACGGAGAAAATGGCAGAAATATGTAGAAATGGAGCTACGCGCCCATGTGACATCACTTCCTTCATATATTAAAGACACCACTGGATTTCTTAAGAAATTAGTGAAAATTAAACAACCATCCGGCAGGAACAATTCTTTTTGTTTAGACGTGAAGCACTATACCCAAGTGTCCCACGAGCAGAGGCACGAGATGCGGTTGCACGTGCATTAAATCAACGTGCCAATCTAGCATAACCCACAGAAGATGTTCTCATTATGATGGACACTGTCCTTGAATATAACACTATTTCAGTTTGATGGAAGAAAATTTACACAGACAGAAGGAAACAGCGATTGGTTTCACGATTATGGAATCGCATTACGCATCTACATATCTTGGATCATGGGAATCACAGCTGATGGAAGATATCAGATAACTTTCCCGCTTGAGTATTTTCCGGGTATGATGATGACGTTTGGGGCCTTTGGACTCACGTATCGATGTCTTTAAAACCATTCCACATGCTTGCAGAATAAAATTAGAATTAAGATTTTCAGCTAAAAAACTTGAATTTCTCGGCGTAATGACGAAGATTCAGAATGGCATTTTAATAACAGACCTTTACACTAAACCAACAGATAAACCCCGTACTTGCATAAAGAATCGCTCATTAGGCCTAATCAACGAAATCGACTAAAATATCATACCATATGGACTTGCCCTCCGTGCTAAACGAATATTACTAAGAATCGACTTACAAACAACATAGGCAAACATTTAAACTCATCGTTAAGAAACGAGCTACGAAATCGACATATGTGAAACAGAATTAAATAAAGTAGATAGTAAGAAAAGGAGTGACTTACTAGAATATAAAGAAGATAAGAAAACACTGAAAGAGTCCCCTTGGTACTGACATTTCCCCGAGCGCTCCCGAATGTAGGAACAATAGTACGAAAACACCTACCTGAATAACACACCCTCAGACAGAATGAAGGAAATATTCCCGAATCCTCCATACGGCATTTAGAAGAGATAATAATCTACAGGACATTCTTGTTCATAAGAAAACACAAAACTATTTTTTAACAGAGCAAATTCCCTGCGCTTCTTGCAGATCTGAAAAGTGTGGCGATTTTCCATAATCATTGAAGCAGACAAATTTATTGGTGTGAACGGGCCTCGTAGAAGGTACGAAAATCAGATCACGTGCAAATCTACGAATGCGGTGTATGCAGTTTTATTGTAAGCGTTTTGCGAACGTTATATTTAATGTTGGAGAAACAGGGGATACGTTGTTCCAAAGACACCTTCTAAAATTTATCCAGAATACGAACCAAGTACAACGATCCGTTAACGGCGCATTTTTTTACACGAACGACCACACAGTTAATGATTTTTCATAATGGGACTGAAAAGCTATACAGGAATGACCAATAACGAAAAAATAGAAAATTTGTGGAAAAATAAATTAAGAACTATATAGACCATATGGAGTTAATACCAAAGAAAATAACACGGCAGACGGCAAACAACGCCACGGCGGGCGTCGTTCATTGACGTTACGTCACTTCCATTGTTTTGTTTTGATACATTAGTATGTATTAAATAGAGGATATTGAATGAGTGTAAGTTCAATACTGAATATATTGCACGAGTTGAATAAAATTATATTATGCGAGCCTCTAATATTATTTTATTCAACGAGTGCAATAAATTCAGTAATGAACTTACACGAATTTAATATTCTATTTATCACATACCCAAAATAAAAACATTTAAAGTGAAATAATGATCATTTTTCATTGACGCCCATATAGTTTAACGCTAACATTTAGAGCGTCTTTACACTATGTTTGTATAACGCTAATGACGTCACGTCAAAATATATGCACGGCCGTGCAATACCATATTTACGGAGTCGCAAAATCGGCACGGGTGTGTGATAAAGCATAAAATCGGCTATTTTTCCCTCTTTTGCCCATGTTATATATATTATACGAAATAAATCCACAGACATGCGAAAAGGAGAATAGGTAGTTTATGTAATAGATATACCATTGCTGCGTTGACGATTTCTGGGTTTGCGTAAATTATACCATAATCACGTGACCTTTCTTATGCAACCTCACTCGACTTCGTCTCGTGAGGTTAAGGCATTAAGAAAGGTATAATTTACCGCAAACCCAGAAATCGCCACCCCACCCCACGCACCATGGTGTATCTGTTTTAACCTATAGCTCAGCCCAGAAACACTTACTCCTTCGATTTTTTCAAAACTGAAAATTATACCATAGTCTGGGTATGGTATAATTTTACGGTTTATTGGAAATCTATACTTGGAAGAATTTTACATAAGAAGCGCTGAAAAGCTATAGGTTAAGATATTTAACGCCCGACGTTTAGCATTGTGCTTCTCAAAGCAAGAAAGGGAAATTTTTTTATCAAACTTGGGTAACATTATTCATTAAATTTTATATAATTTGCGTTCAATTACAAACTGCACTGACACATTCAATTTCAAATATCTTTTCTCTGAAGTTTTTCCTTTCGCATGACAACGGCATATACAAATGAAATTATACTCATCTTAAATTTATATAAGATTACATCATAAACAATGCCCTTCTAATAATTATATTTCTAGATTATCTACAAGTTTGTACTCTCAAGGATACTGTATACAACTCGTTCTTAATCTAAAGAAATAAAATCTACAGTGCATACTCAAAACGACGCATAACTTTTTATACATATACAATACAGAAATGCTTTCTCATGTTCCATACCAGTCCTGTTTAAAAGAATAAAAACACGACATTAAAATTGTTACGACCGGCGATCAATGTTGTCTAAATCATTAACAATATTTTTAAATGAGAGTAAACATTATTCCATTTATATTAAACTTCTGTTAACGTAATATCTTTTTCACGATAATTTCAGGTCAATGACTGACTTTGCTATATAATAAGTCACTGAAAAATTTTTTTTACTGATAAAAAACCCAATAACAGACCCACAAATACGGAAATACAAAATTTAAGTTTTTTCATTTCTCATTTACAACACTAACCCCCTTTGATTTAACTTAGTTTAAACATTCTCATTATTTCTGAGCTTTTATAGGATTTGAAATTAAAAAAAAATTTTGCGGTTTGTGCCTGCTGTTTTCTCCATGTATTATTATTTCGCGGACAGAAAAGAAAAATAGGGGCCAAAAATAAAAACAACGTAGAGAAAGAACGGTAAGGCTTGTAAGGGCTTGTTTATTTTAATTTTTTAACTTTTACTTTCCAAATAAATTTTTTATCGGCCAAAAGCAATAAAGAAAAGTGAAAAACCAATTAGCGATGGTTAAGACTAAAAGGTTATAGATCTATTAACCACAGGAGCTTGAATTTGAAGAGGGAGTATACTTATCTAACCTTTGCCCCAGTTAGACGAGTTCGGAGTATACTGTGATTTACTGTAAATTGATACACGTTTTCTTATCAAGGTTTTATTAAAGAATTAATGTTGTGCTACATGTAGTTTTATGCACGTACAAACATAATTAGATCTATATTATATACCTATAAAAATGTTTTGAATGTTGTTTTGAAATTATACGCCTAATGTATTTTATTTTGTGTTTTTTTTATGATATTTACATAGTAATATGTACTTTTATTGAACATACATACATGTATATAATGGTAGATTGTAGCAAAGCCAACGAAAATGATAAATTATTCTAAGAGTTGATAGCACGTGGTCCGCGAGAATGTTAACACATTTGTACAATTACAGAATGCTACTATGCTATTTCTGTGACAATGTATGCTCTATAGAAGCAAGCGCTACATGTATAATTTGAGGGGAAAAACCCAACTTTTGGCTACAGTAGAGATAGGTATAGTATACAAAATGTATTTTGTTATTCTGTCCAGATTTATAAACATGGCTGAGGGTGGTGATTTGACTTCAATAAAAGATGGCTCGGATGCTGACTTTGTTTACACATGTTCACCATGTGGGGAGGAAAATGTCACAGAAGAGGCCGTCAAGTATTGCCCTGTGTGTGAGGAATATTTGTGTACTACATGCCTACGACATCATGGTCGACTAAAAGCTTCACGGTCACATACAGTTCAAGATTGTGATGCTTCAACAAAAGGGTCAACAGTAACCATGGTTACCAAGTGTCGTTACCATCCAGATCGTGACATTGAAATGTACTGTGGAGAACATGATATGGTGTATTGCACGAAATGTATTGCCACAAATCACAGGTTTGTTTAAATTATCTTCCTATCTATCTATTTATTACGGTGGCACAAAGGTGACATGTGTGTGTTTTTATTTATCTCGTGGCCACGAGATACTATGTCGTGGCCACGAGTTACTAAGTCGTGGCCACGAGATAGCTAAGTCGTGGCCACGAGATACTATGTCGTGGTCACGAGTTATTAAGTCGTGGCCACGAGATAGCTAAGTCGTGGCCACGAGATACTATGTCGTGGCCACGAGTTACTAAGTCGAGGCCACAAGATAGCTAACCTGGGCCACTAGATACTATGCCGTGGCCACGAGATAGCTAACTCGTGGCCACGAGATAAATAACCAATCATATTACACCATTTATGTGAATTTCCCTAATTAACTAGACATGTGCTGTAGCACAAGGATACCCCTACTTCACCAGCTTGTAAAAGTGCCATTTATACAACTTATTGACTTGTCGCTAATTTTACATTTAGCATCACTGTGACCCTGATATTTTACCCAATGACCTCGAAAGGATGAGATGTCATCTACTGATCAGGTGCAATGATCTTTCTGGGTTATATAAACCATGGCTTATCCCTTCTAAATTATTCATCAGACAGGGATTTTACTTTATAGGCTATCTACTGTCCATGGGCAATGTTCCTTACAAATAAAATAATTAAGGACTTATTCCTTCTCATGTTATCATATAAACAAGGTTTACAGGCCGTAGTACGTACAGACTGACCAATCCGATCACAAAATAGTCCCAACAAAGAGCTATAGTCAAAATTAATGTCTGATGGGCCTTGGAAGGTGACTTTCTAAAATGATCCTAAAGACAAGTTCAAAGTAAATAGCTTCAGTATTTTCAAAGATTACTATTGCATGTAAAAGTAAGTTGTTAAGTTTAAAGAAAACCATAATAATTATATATAGTGAATTCTGATTGGTTAATTATCTCGTGGCCACGACATAGTATCTCGTGGCCACGACTTAGCTATCTCGTAGCCATGACATAGTATCTCGTGGCCACGACTTAGTAACTCGTGGCCACGACATAGTTTATTGTGGCCACGACTTAGCTATCTCGTGGCCACGACTTACTAACTCGTGGGCACGACTTAGTAACACGTGGTTATGACATAGTATCTCGTGGCCACAACTTAGCTATCTCGTGGCCACGACTTACTAACTTGTGGCCACGACATAGTATCTCGTGGCCACGAGTTAGCTATCTCGTGGCCACGACATAGTATCTCGTGGACACGAGATAAATAAAAACACACACATGTCACCTTTGTGCCACCGTAATTTATACTGCAACACCCTCTTTCGAGTATATATGTGCAGGTGCGTGTCTGTGCGAAAGTTTAAAAGAAGAAATGTAAAGGAGAATAAAAGAAACACTGTACATGTATTTGTGAGAGTTGATTAGTGTTAGTTAAAAAGAGAAGTATACAGCTAAAACAGACAAAAACAATATTTTCATTTCAAACACGGTGGGGAAGAGTGGTAAGTATTAAGCTTGTTTCTGCTAGGGGCGTGGACAGTAACTTGCTCTTTTCAGTAACGTCCATGAACAGGCTCAATCAAACCGAGCCTGCAACATGTAATTAAACATTGTTAAACATATGTTTGACATATCTAAGAGTTAACAAGTAAGTATTTCTTGGGCATAATGTGCCTTGAACTTTACTTAATTCAAGGAAATTGTAATTGAAACAATCTTATATGAAACTCATTTAATTTCTGAGCTATATGCACCTGTGAGTTTTTAGCTCTTTTGGGTCATTTTCAGGAAAGAATTATTTAAAACATTGGTAAGCAATACCTCCTGTCTATTATAAGGATTCCCTATTCCAGAACAAAATTTGCTGAAATTCAGTGTTACAAATTTTATTCAATACTCAGTTGGGAAGAA